TTTGCAGTATATAGCATCTGTGTAGGGCTATGTGCTTAAGCATAGAAATTTGGGGGGAGAAGGGAGGGGAAGGGGGAGAGGGGGAGAATTGATTTAGGAAAATTTTAGTGGAACGTTGAAATTCTCCAGAATTGCGATGCGCAGTAATTTTTTCAGAACAGCTTAATTGATTTATAACATTAAAAAAATTTAAATTACAATTGTTTCTTCAAATTTTCTTGAAATCGAATTTTAATTACTTTTTGAATTCGAACTGTTTAATTATGTCTGCTCTTTCTTTTTTAGACCGAATTTATCAAAAGACGATTGGTTGAGGCCCAGGCACTAGAAAGTGGACGTTATGCAGGCCGAAAAGTTTCATCGAAAGCAGTTTTTGGTGGCGACAGCTTATCTGGTATTGCCAATCATCAGCCGGAAACAAGCCCGAATTCATCCGGAAGCGATGGTTTGGTGTCATTTATCATTCCGTTATTTAAAATAAAAAAGAGAAGGGGATAAGGAGGGTAAAGGGATAACCGGCTTTTTTTGTTCTTTTTTGAAAAAATCCTTATTGCAGTATCGGCCTCTATTTCAAATTTCATGAGATATTGGTTGTTTTGCCATTCAGGCATGCTTGTATTTCTTTTAAATCTTTTCCGAAAATCTTTTTTTTTAATTTCTTTTAAGTCCTTTTACAATCTTTTTTTTTAAACCTTGTTTTCTCTTTTATCTTTATTCCTTCTTCACTCCATTCTCGCCCCCTTAATCTCACAATCATAGCCCTTCCCTTTCTTTTACTTGCGTCTTCCTCTATATCCTTCTCTTTTCTCTTCCTTTTCCAATAAGAACATTGTGACCGTCATACTGACGTGGTCCAGTCGCAGTGTTGAGTTAAGGCATATATGAATTAATGGACCGGAACTTCTTATCTCATTCTTGCCTCCTTTTCTCATTCTTTCCTGCTTTCTGTATTCCGTACGCCTTCGACACTTTGGCATCCAAGGTCAACCTGGATGCCACCAGTCGGCTTAATCGGGATATCCCTACAGAATTCTTTGAATTTCATTCCGGTTCTTCAGTGGTTACTGTGAATTTGCACACATACTTTTTTTTTTACTGATAGTTTGGTGATAGCATATGCTAGGAAGAGAATCAAACCCGCCATTAGCTGATAAATATCATAGATAAATTTTTTTCCCAGGACAAAGAACCACTCACATTCTTGGTATCATCGTTGATTTTTTCCAGAGGAAGTGCTATCGGATGATGATAATGATGAAGATGATGATAATGATGAAGGTGATGATTATGATGATAATGATGGTTCTGATGATGAAACTGCCTCTTCTGTGGAGGAGCCGAATGCCGCTGAGGAAAAAACCATGGTTACGATTTCTAGCGATACACAGCGTCAAAAAGGTGTACTTCTTTGTTCTCCGTACAGTTCTGTTGACCATTTTGACCTGTTTTTTAGATACGGCTTTTTTCCCG